AAGAGATCTAAAAATCGAGTCATTGTGAGAGCCGCGAGTTGATTCAGTGTGAAATGTGAGAACTTTAAAAGACATCTAAGAATCGAGCCATTGTGAGATCCGAGAGTTGATTAGGGTGAAATGGAAGAACCACAGTTCAAAAGAGATCTAAAAATCGAGCCATTATGAGATCCGAGAGTTGATTCAGTATGAAATGTGAGAACTAATTCAAAAGAGATCTAAGAATCGAGCCATTGTGAGATCCGAGAGTTGATCAAAGTGAATTGTAGGAACCAGTTCAAAAGAGATCTACGAATCGAGTCATTGTGAAATCCGAGAGTTGATTAGGGTGAAATGGAAGAACCAGTTCAAAAGAGATCTAAAAATCGAGCTATTATGAGATCCGAGAGTCGATTCAGTGTGAAATGTGAGAACTAGTTCAAAGGAGATATTAGAATCGAGCCATTGTGAGATCCGAGAGTTGATTTGGGGTTAAATGTGAGAGTTCACAAGAAATTTAAGAATCAAGCCATTGTGAGATCTGAGAGTTGATTCGGGGTTAAATGTGAGAGTTCAAAAGAAATTTAAGAATCGAGCCATTGTGAGATCTGAGAGTTGATTCGAGGTTAAATGTGAGAGTTCAAAAGAAATTTAAGAATCGAGTCATTGTGAGATCGGAGAATTGATTCAGTGTCAAAAGAAATCTTAGAATCGATTCCTAGTTGAGCCCCGACAATAGACACAAAGAGGAAAAGATCTGAGAATTGATTCATTGTGATATCCGAAAGTTTTTTTCTAGGAGAACTGAGATACAATTCAGACAGTGAGATCAGAGGACGCTCCAGTGCAGGTTTTCTGAATCGATTTTGAGTAGGTTTTGAAATCGATTCTGAGAAGAAAGAAAAGGATTCATAAGGAGAACTGAGAATGAATTCAGTTAGTGAGATCAGAGAATCGTTTCAAAGTGTCTGTGAGTAGGTTTTGAGAAAAAATTCTGATTAGGTTTGTGAATCGATTCAGATCATATCCGATAATTGATCAGTATGTTAAGAGAACCGTTTCAGAGTGAGTTTTCAATCGATTCTGAGTGGGTTTTGAGGTCGATTCATAAGGAGAACTAAGAATGGATTCATACGGTATGATCCGAGAAAGTTTCAGAGCGAGTTTTGTGGATCGATTTTTGTTAGGTTATGACATTCGATTCTGAGCGTGTTTTCCTTATCGATTTTGATTGGGTTTTGTGAATGGACTCATAAGAGAACTGAGAATAAATTCAGTCAGTGAGATCAGAGAATCATTTCAAGGTGGATTTTGTTGTGGATCGGATTTTAGTAGGATTTGACAATCGATTCTAAGAGGGTTTCGACAATCGATTCTGAGAGGGTTTTGTGAATCGATTCAGATCAGATCCAATAATCGATTCGGTACGATCCGAGACTTGTTTCAGAGTTAGTTTTCAATCGATTCTGGCTGGGTTTTGTGAATCGATTCTTAATGACAACCGAGGATCTGAGCAATCGAAGAATTGAGAATCTATTCATATAGTTTGATCGCAGATTCTGTCAATTTTTTTTGCTACTCTATTTTTCCTCGTTTCCGATACATGCCGGAAATGTATGTTTGAAAAAAAGCTCTGCATTTTTTCGATCGTGTTTCTTAGCCTGATTAAAATTCCAACATCCAAGCCAATTAATTAAATTGTTGCATAACATCGCCCGTTCAAAGGCGCTATCAGCGGAAGAAAAACTGCACAACTGATTAATGAATTATTAGCGCTTGCATGGGACAAAACGGCCATAAATTTTATATCCGTCAATTTAATATTATCATCCGGGAGTAAAAATAAAACGAGCGTCGTCGGAAAGGCCTGGGTGGCCAGGCGGGGCGTCAATTTTTTTATTAACAGATAAGCTGTGAAAAAGTGTTCTGGACTGAATAGTTCGTGAAATGGGTTGGGTTGAGACATGTTCCGTTTGTCGCCCTTCAGATCCCGTATTGAGTTATATGTTTTTATTCTACTGTGGATATTTAATCGAAGTGGAAAAAGAATCAGTTGGTTCATTATTAACCTGTTATCATTTCTTCGAGTCCAGTCCAGAGACAGCTTCATACTCACATGTCAGAACTGGTTTTTAGTCTGATCTTTGTTAAAGCCAGATCAGAGACTTCTTACTTCTTACCTCAGGATTAGAGAGCCGATTCGTATTTCTTCCCTTTACATCAAGTCAGATCGGCGAATCTTTTCTTTAAATCCGAGAACCGTTTCTTATTGTCTGACTCGGGAATCTTTTCTTACAGACTAATGCGAGAATCTTTTCTTAGAAGCTGAATCGAGAATATTTTCTAAGAATCTGAATCAAGAATATTTTATTAGAGTCTGATCCGAGAATCTTTTCTTAGAGTCTGAAGTGAGAATATTTTCTTAGAATCTGATTCGAGAATGTTACAGACTGAATTACAGACTGATCATTGAATTTTTCGAAGGAATCTGATCCGCGAACTTTTTCTTAGAGTCTGATCTGACAATATTTTCTTAGAATCTGATTCGAGAATGTTTTCTTACAGACTGATCTTTGAATTTTTCGTAGAATCTGATCCGAAACCTTTTCTTAGAGTCTGATCCGAGAATCTTTCTTAGAGTCTGATTCGAGAATTTTCTGTCTAATCCGAGAATCTTTTCTTAGTCTGGTCCGCGAACCATTTCTCAGAATCTGAATCGAGAAATTTCCTTAGAATCTGATGCGAGCATCTTTTCTTACAGACTCATACGAGAATCTTTTCTTAGAGTCTGAAGCAAGAATATTTTCTTAGAATTTGATTTGAGAATGTTTTCTTACAGACTGATCATTGAATTTTTCTTAGAATCTGATCCGAGAACAATTTCTTAGAGTCTGATCCGAGATTCTATCTTAGAGTCTGATTCGAGAATTTTCTGTCTGATCCGAGAATCTTTTTTTAGTCTGGTCCGCGAACTGTTTCTCAGAATCTGAATCCAGAATATTTCCTTAGAATCTGATGAGAGCCTTTTCTTACAGACTGATCCGAGAATTTTTCTTTCAACCTGATCCAAGAACTGATTCTTCAGTGTCTAATTCGACAATCTTTTCATACAGTGAGATCCGAGAATATTTTCTTTGAGTCTGATCCGAGAACCGTTTCTTCGAATCTGATTCGAGAATCTTTTCTTACAGGCTGATCCGAGAACTATTGACAAGACTACTGGACCTATGTCAAAAATACGCCCAATAAAACCGTTTTCTCGCCAATTTTCCCCGGACCTTATTTTCTGAAAATTCGATCTTCCGGCGTTTTCTCGATAGGGTTCCAGGGCGTTACCTGAAGGCTCGCCGGCCGTTCTTCCGCTTTTCGAATTCAATCAATTTATCGTTGATTTCTTTCTCTCCCACTCTTCCCCCGGTCATTATTGTAATGTATACAGGGTGCTGCAGGTACGACGGCCTTTCCCCGCGCCAATCGGCCGGATACAGGCCCAGTGACAAACGACGTTGCGACACAATGCGAAGAAAGAAAGCCTTTTGTAGTTCTTTTATAGTTTTGTGTTCGTATATTTCTTTTCCTCCAATCCTCGTGAAACATTTCTGCGGCGTCTGGCCGGGTCGTCTTTTAAATTTGGATTTCTGTGTATCCTTGGGGGCCGTTTTAGAACAGAGGGACGTCAAACAATTCCTGTTTGTTTACGGAGGACCGGTGGCTTATCTTCTAGGCGGATTTTTTTTCCTTTAAAGAAACAACCACTTTCAATACAATTCTGGCTACGTGACCGTACAAGGCGAGAAACAAAAAGAGACCCTCTGACAGAAAATAAGTCGGATTTTCAGCTATGCAAGAGGGCGGACGAGCCTAGAAGCGGTTCAAAGTGCGGCCAAAAGACTAATGAACGAGAACGGTGATCAATTTTTTTACGTCATCCGCACAATTTCTACATGATGGTATTCCAGGGCGAGAGATCAAGTAGCGCCTAACCCGCTTTTATAAACGAAAAAATGGGAAAATCAAGTGAAAAAAGACTCTTTTCGTGAAAAGAATTGCGGTCCTATCTGAGAACTGGTTCCTACCTTCTGATTCAAGAATCGATTCTCAGAGTCTGGTAGAAGTATCGTTTATTACTCTAATTCGAGAACCGGTTCTTACTGTTTGATCCGAGTATCGTTAGCTACTCAGATACGAGAACCGATTCTCAGAGTGTGATTCGAGTATCGTCTATTACTCTAATATGAGAACCGGTTCTTACTGTTTGATCCGAGTATCGTTTGCTACTCAGATCGGAGAACCGAATCTGTGAGTCCGATACGAGTATCGTTTATTACTCTAACACGAGAACTGGTTCTTACAGTCTGATCCGAGTATCGTTAGCTACTCAGATACGAGAACCGATTCTCAGAGTCTGATATGAGTATCGTTTATTACTCTAATAGGAGAACTGGTTCTTACTGTCTGTTCCGAGAATCGTTTGCTACTCAGATACGAGAACCGATTCTCAGAGTCTGATTCGAGTATCGTTTATTACTAGAGTACGACAACCGGTTCTTACAGTCTGATCCGAGTATCGTTTGGTACTCAGATCGGAGAACCGATTCTGTGAGTCCGATACGAGTATCGTTTATTACTCTCATAGGAGAACTGGTTCTTACAGTCTGATCTCAGAATCGTTTGCTACTCAGATCAGAGCCTTATCCTAGAATCTTTTCTTAGAGCTAGATCTCAAAATCTTTTCTTCACTCCTAGAGATCCTATTCGTAAAATAGCATTGTCTGATTCTAGAATGATTGTATACAGTAGACTATAGTACACTTTCCATTTTTCACTTTTGCAAAGGATATCTGCAAGGAATGTCGATAAGTAAGGAGGTTTAGGAGTTCTAAAAGTGGGACTCAGCTTGTATTTGCCGTCCGGATGAGGGACTTTGAGGGAGGGGTTGGAGGATCCTAGAAATTCAAAGGGTGTTTTGTGCATTTTAATCTCCTCAGAGTGTATTAATTTTGATTCTTCTTCTGCTCCAGTATGACAACGACCTGACATTCGACGAGCCCCAGGCTCTGGCCGAGCCGCAGAACACCGACAGCCTGGTCGGCAGAGTGTACAACGGCGTCACACAGACACTCTCCAGGGTGAAACGGGACATATTTGATTGGTTCAACATTCACGACGACGACAAGAAGGAAGAGGTAACCACGTCCACGTCCAACCCAGTGACGGAACCGGACGACTTCGAAAACGGAAGGACTTCGCCTCTCTTCAGAACGTGAGGACTTTTCTGATTTTTTTTTTTTAATTTTAACTAATGATGATAGAACAGGTACATACAGTCTGTTCCAATAACCTTTCTAATGTCCTGATCGTAGAACTGGTTCATAAAGACTGATCTGATCACCTTTTCTTATAGCCTGATCATAGAACTAGTTCATATGGTCTGATCTGAACACCTTTTCTTAGGGCGTGGTCATAGAATTGGTTCATATAGTCTGATCTAATCATCTTTCTTATGACCTGATCGTAGAACTGGTTCATAAAGACTGATCTGATCACCTTTTCTTATAGCCTGATCATATAGTGGTTCATACAGTCTGATCTGATCACCTTTTCTTATAGCCTGATCATAGAATTGCTTCATACAGTCTGATGTAATCACCTTTCTGATGACCTGTTGATAGAACTGGTTTGTACGGTATGATCTGATCACCTTTTCTTAGGGTCTGATTATAGAACTGGTTCGTACGGTCTGATCTGATCACCTTTTCTTAGGGCCTGATCAGAGAACTGGCCCTTCTGGTTCTTACAGTAAGTTCCGAGAAACGATCCTTCATTCTGAGAATCATTTTTCATCCTGATCCAAAAACTGTTCTCACTCTTATTCCAGAATTGTTTTTTAGAGTCTGATTGGGGAACTAGTTTTTACTGACAGTCTTTCCTGATTTTTTTAAATTATTATTTTTTAACTTTTTTATTTTCCAGGACAAGGGATGCTGACCGGGACACAGACGATGATGAAGACCCGACGTACGACCTGTCCAAAGGTGGCTCCGGGGACGTCGGATCAGGGGAGGAACATCTTCCGACCCCTGAGACAAAAAGGCATCGGCACAGCAAATGTATTTTTCATATTTTTAAACCTGCAACACAAGAAACAAGAATAAATTTATTTTCTAAAAAAATCCACAGCTATAGTCAGGGTTACATTTTACATGAGGGAATGGTGGCAAGATAAGCTGGAGGACAAGTCATCAACCAAGTACCTTGAGCTGAAGTCTGACCTCGAGGAAAGCATGAACCAACTGTTGTCCAAGATCACTGGTACTCAGACAGCACATCTAGTCAATTTAGAGTAAGTACTAATGCCAGTTCATTTATGGATTTAAAAAAAAAAGTATATATATANATATATAATTGTGTGTGTGTATAATTTATTTATTTATTTATATATATTTGTTAAAATAGAAAATGGAATGAAAACGATGTTGTACGAGTGACCATGGACGTATTCTCCCAGTATAACGACAAGGTCGAAGATGAGGTTGAAACGCAGCTTAAAGCTCAGATCAAGGAGACAAACAAACTCGGCAACCAGGTCATCGAACTCAGTAACAAACACACAGTGATTGCCAAATTGTTCGAGGGTAAGGTATTTAATTATCATACCAAAATTGCCTTCTATAACTTTTCTTCCGCCAGACCAAAGTCAGGTCGAATGCGAAAACGGGGTCTTATGTGGAGGCGTACCGCCAAAATGCCTTCCTATCGGAAACAGGTGCGACGGAATAACACAGTGCGATGATGGTTCGGACGAGGAAGGATGCCCGGTGTTTGGACACGGTAAAAAATTTTGTCTGTAAACAAAAAGCTTAACGAGGAATCCTACTAACACGTATGTCGAATGACACTAACATGCATCGTACAATCTTCTTCGATAATAACCATGCCAGATGGGGCTGTTTTGGTAGAAGGGGTCCATCCGTACCAGTCTCTCCAGTCGATATTAACCATCCTTTCCCGTAATCCTGCTTACGAGTCACAATCTCTCTGAATTTCCTGGTTATTTGAAAGGTCGAGTTGTCTCATCCTCAGCCAGAAGGTATTGTTGCCAAGAAACAGAAACATATCAGGCTATGCCATTATGAAGATTAATCAAATCTAAATAAGCTGCATTTTAAGATTTTTATGCCAAAAACTGCTGGTACAAAGTTTTGCCAATATTCATTAGCTAGAATATTGCGTGTTTTGGAAGCTGAACATGCTGAAAATTCATGGTATCTATTGACAAGAGGATCTGATTTAAACAAGCTATTCTATATTTTCTGGCTCAATTATGTTAAAATTTCATGGTACAAAATATATTAAACACAAAGTTCATTCGGAGCTAAGTTTTTTTGGCCAATTCATAGCAGAAAGTTACAGTTTAGGGATCTAGACAAGGCGATCTGAGTTATTTTTAGGCAAGTATTGCCGGTTTACGGATTTATCAACAAGATTTATAAAGACTCGTCTGTATATTTTGACCAAATTATGACTAAATTTCATGGTATTAAGCTTTATTGGCAATAAGGTTTGTCCATAACCAAACCTCTTCTGGATTTTTTAAGCCAATCACAAGAGAAGTTAGAATTATATTGTATAAGGTATATGAGAAGGAAGGTTCATCCTTACACAGACTATTGTATAAAAACTAGACATCATTTGAGCCTAATCGGGCCAAATTTGTATGGTAATAGAGCAATATTTGTCTTAGAATCCATGGAATGACTTTTCAAGTCAAAACCAAAAATTTTGGCCAAGACTAGACAAAGATTGATGCATGACACATGCCCCTTATGTCAAAACGATTGGCTGTTCGAGTCAAATCATTCAAGAATTGCTTGCTGTGTCAGCAACAATATCCTATTTACCCAGACTATTATTTATTTTCTGGTCCAATTATACCACAATTACTACATTCCTTCTGTATTTTTTAGCCCTATCATGTGAGAAATTTTCTGTCTAATTGGGGCCATCATAGAATCTGATTTAGACAGACTCATAGGGCCAAGTTATGCCAAAATTTCTCAGTATAAAACTATATTTGAAACAAGGTTCTCCTTAGAGAAATAGAAATAATTTATTATTCATTCTACTCTGTCCATTACAAAAAGTGTAAACAAAAGTTCCCTTAGACCTTCTGCACGTTTAGGCCCAGTTATGCCAAAGATTCTGGGTGTAATGCTATATTTGAAACAAGGTTCACCCTTAACCTGGCTCTTCTGGATTTATTGGCCGATCAGGAGTGAATTGTATGGTGTAAGGATTTACCATCAAGAGAATCCGACTTGACAGATAAAGTTCATCATTACATCGTTTGAGTCGAATTATGCCGAACTCAAACAGCATGTGAAAGACACACATTTCTTCGATATAAGGCATTGACCCTGATTTTTATTTTTTTTCTGGCTTTTTTTCTAAATTTACACAGATTCAATTAGTTTTATGTTGTGATATTAATACAATTATGCCAAAGTTTAATGGTATAAGTAATTCTGGAAACAAGGTTCGTCCTTACCCTCACATTTTTGATTTATTGGCTCATCAGATGAGCATTGTACAGTGTAAGGATTTACCATCAAGAAAGTCCGATTTGAGAAATTTCTTGATATCAAGTTCATCCGTACATCGTTTGAGTCGAATCATGCCAACCATATATGGCATGTAAAACTCACACAGTTCTTCGATCAATAAAGCAGGGATCTTTTTTTTTTCCTTTTTCTTTTCTGGCTTTTTCTAAATTTACACAAATTTAATTAGGTTATTTTGTTGTGATATTAATACAATTATGGTAGAATGTAATGGTATGAGTAATACTGGAAACAAGATTCATCCTAAGCGCAGTTTTTCCTGTATGTTTTTAGTCAATTTTCGAAGAATCATTTAGTAAAATCTACGCTAAGATGATCCAAGTTAGCCAGTCTATTTTTATGGTTTGGACTGAATTATGCCAAAATTTCATAGTATAAAGGTATATTTTAAACAAGGTTTATCCTACCTTGAACATTCTGCGAAGAACTAGACATCATTGCCTACCGTGATAAATTTGAACAGTTTTTGAATGACTCCCATTTTTATTTGGTCAAGAAGGCAGTGGTGCTGGATTTTGTCCATTATTGTGACTTTTTCTCAATTTAATCCGCTTAATCAGTTTTTGTTTATTAACAAACCTGTATTTTTTCGAAAAAAAAAACCTTTCCCTGTCCTTCATCCTCATCCGATGCATTCCTGACCCGGCACTCAACCTTCTTGTTTCTTGTACGACCAGAAACGACGTTCAACCAGCCAAAATGTAGGGCGGACGACGTCAGGAGGTGCGACGACGGCCAACAGTCAATATGCCACGACCAACTCTGTGATGGACGGATCGACTGTGATGATGGTAGCGATGAAGATAACTGCGACACACCATCGAGTGAGTCGTAGGATTTAAATCAAGTTAACTTCGCCGACTAACAGCTTACTAACTCTTATTTAAACAAACGCCTGATAAATAAGTGTAATACTTCACACCGTATAGCTTTACAACGTTTATGCAATATGTAAATTAACAGGAACGATTCGCAACGAAGAAACTTCAAGAAAGAACTGACATATGATTTGTGTAGACTTATAAGTCTAAAAGTTCTTGTTATTCTATGTATAAAAATTATGCTTATTGTTTGTTAAGTATTTATATTTATATATTATTTTAACTAGCAAGTTGAAATTTTAAAGGACCTCAGAGATTTAGTTGTCAAAAATTGAGACAGATGGGGCAACCATGACCAAACCATCCCAGTCTCTATATTTTTTTATAATTGTCCATTAAATTTTTGAGGGAAGAAAAAAAGCCGAAATCGGTTTACAGATTGCCTGCTGACCGAGTTTATGTGTGACGTCAAAAGGTGCATACCGAGGGCAAACCGTTGCGACGGAATCGAACACTGCCGAGACAAGACTGATGAGCAGAACTGTCCAAGGAAAGGTAGACAGATCATAGTGTCCCTCCTGCACGATTACACTTGCTCTTGCCCATCCTTAGACCAAAGACAATAGATATACCCTCACTGCTTATGGATAGTCTAGATTTTTTTAAAAGTACGCATGAACACAATTTAGTCATTATTGCTTGTTTCAAAATACTTTTTTAGTGTTTCGTTCTTCTTTTCTTTTGTTAAAGACTAGGCTACATTAGACACATTTATATTCTTAAAAGGTACCACATGTGTATGCAGTGGGTGACCTTTTTGATTTTCATTGGCAGTTGGTTACAATGATGCCCGCTTTTATTAAGGCACTCCCAAAAAAAAAAACTGTTCTGACTAAAACAGAACAGTGGCGTATGTACATTCTTTTTTATTTTCATTGACAGTTGGTAACGATGATGCCCAGCTTTTATTAGGCCGCTTTCAAAGACTTAGTGACTAAAACAGAACAGTAAAGTATGTACTTTCTTTGATTTTCATTGGCAGTTGGTTACGATGATGCCCAGCTTTTATTAAGCCACTCCCAAAGACTTAGTGACTAAAACAGAACAGTGATGTATGTACGTTCTTTGATTTTCATTGGCAGTTGGTTACGATGATGCCCAGCTTTTATTAAGCCCCTCCCAAAGACTTAGTGACTAAAACAGAACAGTGATGTATGTACGTTCTTTGATTTTCATTGGCAGTTGGTTACGATGATGCCCAGCTTTTATTAAGCCACATCCAAAGACTTAGTGACTAAAACAGAACAGTGATGTATGTACGTTCTTTGATTTTCATTGGCAGTTGGTTACGATGATGCCCAGCTTTTATTAAGCCACATCCAAAGACTTAGTCACTAAAACAGAACAGTGATGTATGTACGTTCTTTGATTTTCATTGGCAGTTGGTTATGATGATGCCCAGCTTTTATTGAGCCACTTCCAAGACTAAACTGAAGAGTGACATATGTTCTTTAGTTGAAATAATTTCAGATATATTCATCGGAAACTTGTTACAATGCCTGCAGTTTTACTTGACCATGTCCACTTTTTAATTAGCAATGCCTTTAATCAATAATCGAAATTACATGTAACATATATATAACAACTTGTTGTATATTCTTAAATTGTATACACTCATTATAGGCGACACCTACTCTCATTTAACCACGCTCACATATCTATTAGCCAAGCCCTTAAACGTATTAAGGTGTAGCAAACCGAAGACAGAGCAATATCATTATAATATTATGAATAGCTTAATACAAATCTAACTATGACACGCCTACTCGAATTTAGCCACGACCATATCAATTCAACATGCTTAAGACAGCTAATGCCTTAAAAATATTGAACTTGGTAAAAATATTAAATTTAAATCACGCCTGCTTTTTATTTAGCCACGCCCATAAATCTATCAATTTAATATGCTTAAAACAGTTAACTCCTTAAGAATATTCAGCATGGCAAAAAAAATCCATTTAAACCACGCCTACTTTCATTTAACCACGCCCATTTTTTATGTAGCCACACCCATAAACCGATCGATTCAACATGATGTCTTATAGTTTGATAGTATTTGTTTAACTCGTTAGGAATATTGATCATGGTAAAATATTAAATTTCAACCATGCCTACTTTTTATTTAGCCACACCCATAAACCTATCAATTCAACATGATTAAGACAGTTTAATAGTATTTCTTTAACTCGTTAGAAATATTGATCGTGGTAAAAAATCTCAATTTAAACCACGCTTACTTTTTATTTAGCCACACCCATAATAATATCAATTCAATATACTTAAAACAGTTTGGTCGTATTTCTTTAACTCGTTAAGAATATAGAACATTGTACAAAACTCTTGCCTACTTTTTATTTAGCCACGCCCATAAAAATATCAATTCAACATGCTTAAGACCGTTTGGTAGTCCTTTTGTTAACTCTTTAAGAATGTTAAATATCATAAAAAAAACCTACATTTAAACCATGCCTACTTTCATTTAAACAGACCCACCTTTTATTTAGCCACACCCATAAATTTATCAAGAATTGATATAGCACTTCTTTATTTAGCTACTCCCATAAACCAATATAAGTTCTGACAGTTTCATATGATTTCTTCACCTTGTTATGAATTGTTAAACTGGGTAGAAATGCCACTTTAGGCCACCCCTAGTTTGTATTTAGCCACGCCCACGATTTAATGTGATGTTATCATTCGTGTTCGTAAGTTTTTTATTCGTGATATTTTTGTGGTGTGCTTTGTCTTTAATGAAAGGACACGAGGAGACATTTATCGTTTTATTTATGGCCAGGTGTAACGGTTTTAGAGTGTCTTGTCGGTCTTTGAAGGTTTTCTGCCGATTCGTCCTAGGGAAAAAGCTTGTGAAAATTTCCTAAGGCGTAAGGTTTGGGCTTTTTTTTAATAAGAAAATCGAAAATACGGTGGTTAATTTAGTTAGTAGACCTTTTAGTTTTAAAGAGGGGCGATGGGACAGGAGCGACCTAATTACCCGACAACGTCTTAATAATCGAACCGCCCCCCCGCCCCCCATTCTCGGTCGGCCGGGGGTTGAAGTGAAACTGTCGTGTTTTGATTCCGTGTTCCACCCCCTCCACCCCAGACCCTTGCCACCCCTACCCCCTATAACCACCCCCGGCCGTCACAAATAACCGCAGAACCTCAGCCGGCACGTAATAGCCGTGTCGTGTCTGCTGCCTCCGCGCACTTACTAACCGTTACATCAATCACACGGATGGATTTCAATATTTTATACCTAACATTTCGTCGATCCTTTTTTTCCCTTCCTCCCTATTTTCAACTTAGTAGCCTTAAAGACCTTCCACTCTTCTTTCTTTTCATAGGCGAAAAACAGAATCAAAAAATTAAACTAATTTTCTGAGAAAATGACGAGTCTAATTTTATGAAATTACCACACATACACACACGAGGAAAATAAAGCCACAAGCCGTCAGAGAGCAGGGGTGGATACTCGGAAACGTTTCACGTAAATTGAAATTGACAGTTTACGAATTTATCTGCTCGAGCATCAGTAGATTGCTTCAAAACAGACAAAACACTCACAAAAAAAAATTTATGCCTGATTTGACACCAAACTGCATCGTTAATCGATCCCCCGCTTGGAAAACGGACGATGAAAATTCCCTTGGATGGAAAACATTCCCTCCCGTGAAAGATCACAGCATAAATTTGCTCTTTGACAACCCCTTAACGCCTAAAACGGTCGATTTATTTGAATTGTGTACTGAAATAATTTTAACCGTTAGTTCATAGGCGTGGTCTGATGAAAAATGGGCGTGGCTTTATTGGACTTGTGATATAGTGGCGATGTTATACATTTCTAATTATGATTGGAAATTTAGTAGTTTTAGTATGACAATTTAACAATTTTAGGACTGAAGTAATTGGTTTTAATGTTATTTCAAGGGCGTGGCCAAACAACTCATTGTGGGTTATCAACCTAAAAATAAATAAAATAATTTTTAAGAATTGGTCAGATTTTTGGGCATGGCTTTATTGAATGTGGGGTGTATAGACGATGTTATACATTTCTAATTGTGATTGGAACTTAGTAGTTTTAGTATGACAATTTAACAACTTTAGGACTGTAGTAACCGGTTTTACTGTTACTTCATGGTCTTGGCCAAACAACTCAGTGTGAGGTATCAATCTAAAAAATAAAAATAATCGGTCAGATTTTTGACTATTTACAGCACGCAGGTTCTTTGTTTATGGCCACGCTCACTTTCATTTAACCACGCCTACATTGTTTATTCAGCCACGCCCATAAACCACATAAGATTCGACATAGTGAAGACGTTCTGACTTATTATCAAGTTTTAAACTGAACATAAATAACAGTATAGGACACTCCTAATTTCATGTAACCTCACCCCTATATTAATTAGCTATGGCCTTAAACCTATTAAGATTTGATGTAGATTTTTGACTAAAGAGATTTTACTAAGATTTAATGACGCCCACTTTTAATTAGCCATGCCCATTGACGTAATGACTAGACAGAACAATGACATATCTTCTGTAAGATTCATTGGCACCAGGCCCAGTTTTTATTTAACCACGCCATTATTTTAATTACCCATGCCCATAAACCAGTCATCAAATCAGAGTTGACATTGCGATGTTTGATATCTCTTCTCGGACTTGTTATAAATTGTTAAAGTAAATATTATAAATCACACTACAGGCCACGCCTACTTTCATTTAACCGCGCCTTCATTTTATTTAGCCACGCCCGTGAACTAACAATGAACCATTAGAGAAAAAGTAATATTCAACAAAATAATAACATTGTCGAACATTATGGAGGCAAGATTACTTAGTAAGTCCCACACTCACTGACTCACAATGACTCAATTCAAGGCTAGGTCGACTAAACAAGGGGCATGGTTATATAATAAGAGGGCGTGGATAGAAGAGTA